GTCAATTTTATTTTATTCTTTCAAAGAACCAACTCTTTGATTCATTGATTTTTTGGATTTTTTTTAGTCTCTATTGCATTGATTTCTGCTCTGATTTTTATAATTTCCTCTCTCCTTTTGGCTTTGGGCTTGGCTTGCTCTTCTTTTTTGAGATGTTTGAGGTGTAACATCAGGTTATTTATTTGTATTCGTTCTGTTTTCCTGATGTGTGAACTCAGTAAAATAAATTTTCCTCTGAGGACAGCTTTCATTGCAGCCCACAGATTCTGGTAAGTTGTATTTGTGTTTTCATTTTCTTGTAGGTAGTGTTTAGTTTCCTATTTAATTTCTTCTATGATCCACTGATTACTCAAGTGTGTGTTATTCAGTTCCCATATGTTTGAGGGAATTCTGTAGTATCTTTTATCATTAATTTCTAATTTCATAGCACTACGGTCCGATAGCATGCAAGGGATAATTTCAACCCTTTTGCATTTATTTAGATATGTTTTTGTGAATTAATATATGGTCTGTTTTAGAGAATGACCCATGTACTGCTGAGAAGAATGTGTATTCTGTTATTGTTGGGTGGAATACTCTGTATATGTCTATTAAGTCCATTTGTTCACAGGTTCGATTCAGTTCTTTTATTTTTGTCTGGTTGATCTGTCCATTGGTGTCAATCGTGTGTTAAGATCTCCTATTAGAATTGTGTTATGGTTAACTTGGTTTTTCATTTCTGATATTACTTGTTTTATATAACTGGGTGCTCTGGAATTTGGTGCATATATATTTAAGATAGTTATCTCTTCCTCTTGGAGTTTTCCCCTAACCAGTATATAGTGACATTCTTTATCCCTTCTGATCATTATTGGCTTGAAGTTCACATTGTCCACAAACAGAATAGCTCCCCCTGCTTTGTTTTTGGGTTCCTGTTGCATGAAGTATTGTTTTCCATCCTTTAACATTCAGTCTGTGGGTATCCTTTTGGGTTAGATGGGTTTCTTGTCGACAACATATGGTTATATTTTGTTTCTTGATCCATTCTGCCAGTCTGTTTTTTTAATTGGTGCATGGCGACCATTTACGTTAATGGCTATAACTGTTTTATATTGGTTTATTGTTGACATGTTATCTTTCTGCTCTTGTAGCTTTATCTTTCGGTTCTTTTTAATTGTCTGCTTTGTTTAGTGGTTTTTTTCCTAAATGTATCTAGGCTGTCTTTGAGTATTCTTTGCAGGGTTGGCTTGGTGATCATGTAGTTTTTCAGCTGTTCTTTCTCACAGAAGTATCTTATTTCTACGTCAATTTTGAAGGACAGTTTTTCAGGGTACATCAGTCTATTTTGGAAATCATTTTCCTTTAAGATCTGAAACACTTCACTCTGTGGTCTTCTTGACTTTGTTGTTTGTGCTGAGAAGTCTACTGTGATTCTGATAGGTTTTCCTTTATAGGTGATCTGTCTTTTCTCTCTGACAGCTTTTAATATTCTATTCGTTTGTTCGATTTCTGGGATGGTCATTATTATGTGTCTGGGTGTAGTTTTATTTTGGTTATGGCTATTTGGAGTTCTATATGCTTCATTGATCTTGATATCACTTTCCAATCTGAAGTTTGGGAAATTTTCAGCTATTACTTCTCTAAATATCCTCTTGACATCCTTTATGTTTTCCCCTTCTTTTTCATTTATCCCTATCAACCTAATGTTGTTCCTCTTTGCATCATCTTGCAGGTGTTGAATTGTTATTTCCTGATTTCTTGTTATTCTAAAAGTTCTTTCCATTCCTGTTCACTGGCTGCAATCTTGTCTTTGAGGTCTGAAATTCTATCTTCACATTCATTGATGCGGTTTTTACAACTTTTGATGGAGTTTTTGATTTCCTGTATATCTCTTTGCATCTGCTTTATATATTCTGTTTCTTTCTTGTACTGTTCATCCAGGGATTCTTTTTGTTTAGTTCCTCCAATTTTTTAACTGTGTCTTCTTTAGATATGTTCAGCATCTCCTTCATTTCTTTTATCATTTCTTCTTTTACCTGAGAGATTACTTCTAGTTTGAATTCCTTTAAGGCTTCCCGGAGTTCCTTCTTTATTTCAGTTACTATTATTTCAGGTATTTCAGGTATGTGGCATATATTTTCTTCTATGCACATGGCTCCTAGGCTTTCTTGGGATGGGCTGGATATGTGAGATTGCATTTTGATCTTTTGTTTTGTTATTTTCCTATATTTTCGAGCTTCAAGTGTTGTTCCATGTGAGGGAGAGAGGTCAGCCAGGCTGGGATGGAATTCCCTGTCCCCTCCTGACTCACTGATCTTGACAGGAAGCCAGGGCCTGCTCCCCAGGCGAAGAAGTGAGTTCTACTGGACTGGGACAGGGTTCCCTGCCTCCACTGGCCTTACTCGTCCTGACAAGGAGCCAGAGCCTGGCCCCCAGGTGAAGAAAAGAGTTCCGCTGGGCTGGGGTGGGTTTCCCTGCCTCTGCTGGACTTACTAGTCCCACAGGAAGCCGGGGCCTGGCCCCCAGGCCAAGAAGAGAGTTCCAAGCCTCCACTGGACTTACTTGTACCAAGAGGGACTCCTTGTTATTTTTTAAAGATCTTTCCTATCCTGTTCACTAGCTGCAATCTTGTCTTCAAGGTCTGAATTTCTGTCTTCACTTTCATTGAGTCATTTTTCACAACTTGCAATGGAATTTTTGATTTCCTGTGTATCTCTTTGCATCTGCTTCATGTATTCTGTTTTCTTTCTTATATTGTTTATCCAGGGATTCTATCCTTTTGCTTTTTTCCTCTAGTTTTTAAACTGTGTCTTCTTTAGATGTGTTCAGCATTTCTTTCATTAGTTTTATTATTTCTTCTTTTACCTGTGAGATTATTTCTAATTTGATTTCCTTTAAAGCTTCCCAGAGTTTCTTCTTTATTTCAATTGCTATTATTTCAGGTATTTCAGATGTATGGCCTATATTTTCTTCTATGTACATGGCTCCTAGTCTTTCTTGGGATGGGCTGGATGTTTGAGATTGCATTTTGGTTTTTTATGTTGCCATTTTCCTGTTTTTCTGTATTTCAAGTGTTGTTTCCAAGCTTCCCCTGGGCGTGTTGGAAATCACTTCCTATGCCCTTGGCTCCTGGGGCTGAATGGAGGTTACTGATCATGATTCAGTCAATCCCACAGAACCTTCCGTGCCACCTCCAGTGTTCCAGGATGCTGGGCTGGCTCCTAAGCACTTTGGGGATTGTCCAAAACTCTCCTGGCTTGCACTGATGTGTTGGAACTTCAATCACGTGTCCTCAGCTCCCGTGATTGAAAAAGGTCACTGGGCATGGTCTAGTGGGGTCCACAAAACCTCCCAAGCCTAGTCTAGTGTGGCTAGAAGCTGGGGGGGGGCACTTAACAGCTGGGAGTGATGATCTTAAACTCTCCCAGGGCCGGAACTGGTGTGCTGGAACTCACCTGCCGCAGCCTCAGCTTCCTGTATTGAAAGACGTGTTATATCTTAATTCCTTGTTTTTTTGCATTCCCCTCCCCTTCCTTCAACCCTCATGTCCTTCTTATTTACATAGCTTTGCTTTGATGCTTTTCTAAGTTTCTTTCTTTTTCTTTCCTTCCTTTCCCCTTCCCCCTTCTTATTTTCTCTTCCCTTGTGAATATTTTTTCCTATTTCACTATACATTATACAAATGTTATACATTTTTATCCTTACTTACACTTTTAGTTTCTCACACCAGAGAGATATGCGATATTTGCACATTTGTGACTGATTTATTTTAGAAAGCCAGGCAAGCGATGAGTGGATTTGGGTTGTAGTTTACAAGTAGAGTCAATAGGAATTTAAAAACTCTTGGATAGAATAGTGAGGGCAAATGTATACTGAAGGATGAAACTAAGATTTTGGCTTGGGCTAAATTCACGGAGATAGAGAAGACTGAAAGCAGAGTTGATTTTTATTGGAAGAAAAGAAAGAAAAGTTTGGTTACGAGTTTTGGGTGCTTATACTTAGGTATATATAATACAGATTTACCTTCATTCACAAACACTTGAACACTTTTTTATATATTATCTTGTTTTAGTCTTTTTTAGATAGAATCTTGCTGTGCCATTCAGTCTGGACTTGAGTTCACTTTGTAGTCCAGGCTGGTCGCGAATTTGCAGCAATCATGCTGCCTTAGCCTCCTGAGTACTGGAATTACAGGCTTGTGCTGCCATACCTGGATTATTAGTCTTTTTTGAGTCAGAGTCTCACTACGTAGTTTAGACTGATCTTGACATCACTATGCAGTCCAATCTGGCCTCAGACTCACTGTGATCCTCCAGCCTCAGCATCCCTGAGTGGTGACATTATAGGAATGCCACAAATGCTTTTTGTTTGAAAACAGTTTGGTTTGTAAACAGAAGTGTTTGGCAAAATTTAATTTTTGTTTGAAAAACATGCATTAGGAGACAAATACAAGTGTGACCAACCTTCCTATACAAATACATGTGTGGCCATATTTTCTCAAATTGTAGAACAAATTAAATTATTAACCAAATTACCACTGTATATGAGTCAGAAATGCAAGAGAGAATTCTGTACTACAACTACCTATTTATGAGTATCTGTATGAGTATACAATAATATAAGTAGATTATCTTGCCTCAGGGAAGCATACATAGATGAGAAGGTGGCCAAGCCTGGAGTCTTGAAAAGCTCTAACATTTTAGGGACAGAAAGATGAATAGAAATATGTGAGGGAGAATCTTCCAGAGAGTTTGTAGGCTTGATATCAGAAACCATGAGAAGAGAATTTTTTGAGAAGAGAGTAGTCAACAGTGTCATGCTGTGGAAAGTATGACAAGGACTAACATCCACTGGATTGGGCAGTGGGACCATTGTTAACTTGATGAGAGCAATTTCTGTAATATAGGAGTAGAAATCACGTTTCTGTCCCAGGTGCCCTATGTCTAAAAGCTCACTGAATCCTGTCACTTTTGTCATTGTCTTTCCCTTTCTCAGTAGCACTTCTTTTCATTTTTTTTTAGTACTAGACCGTTTACATAGTCTTCAAATTAATAGCAGTTTGAGCACCTACTCTCTCGTAGACTCTGTTGGAAGTACAAAGACATGTAAGATATGATTCTTTTTCCAAAGAAGGGAACATAAAGGGGAGAGGGGAAGTAATTTCAGCACCTACTACATGCCAGGCACTTTATGTAGTATAACTCCCTGTATCTTCACAATAATCCTGTGAGGTCAGTACTATGTCTGCTTTTAAAAAAAAAAAAAACAGAAATTAAAGAAGATACTTAGAATTCATATGACTTGCCCAAAGTCACACAGAGAAATAAATCTGGTATTGAACTGATCTGTTTGACTCCAAAGCATGGGTGTTCTATTTTATAATGCTTTGCTGTCTGTGACCTAGTTTATGAGATGGTAAAATTGCACAAAAGTTAGATCATGGTCAATTTAAGCTTTTGCTTTGAGATAGCTACAGAAGAAATATCACTGTATGATTTAACTGTAACCTAAATTAGATGATAATAGCCAGACTTTGAGAAATTTTCAGAATAAAACTTTTCATTTTTTCCTCCTTGATATTTTTGGTGCCTGGCAGAGAGTAGATGCTTAATAAATGTTTGAATGAATTCAGAAGGAGAGATGATGGTAAGTGGGGTTAGCCAGACAGAGTTGTTAGAGGAGGTAGGATTTAGTCCTAGTCTTAAAAATTGAATAAAATTTTGAAAGAAAGATGGGGGAGGGCATTCCAGGCAGAAGGACAGAATATGCAAAGGTTAGTGGGAAAGAAGGTTAAGACAGAGGTCGCAAACAGGCAACTTGTATGCTGAATAAGGCCTGCGGATTTATTTTGTTTGGACTGTACACTGTTTTAGAACAATTGAAATTAGTTACCAACTAAAATTTTATGTAAAAATTTGAATGTCCCACTACTACTGAAAAGTTTAAATATCTGGTAACCTTGATGAAATATCTGGTAATGTGCATGAAAAATGAAAAAGAGTTGAATAACTATCATTTACTCTACTATCCCATTGGGTAGATGTTTACCCTTCATATGTGGCCAATGGTGTAATGGTGTATGTTTACTGACTTGGCCCCTTATTAGCAAGTTTGCGACCCCTGATGTAAAGTATATTGGGAATTTGGGAGGACTGTGAATAAAATAAATTGGGTTGGAATGAAATACTTTATTAATATGAATTATTAAATATTTGTAGATAAATTGAAAGCCAGTGCCCCCCTTTAGGCATGGAGGAGCCACTGAAAGTATTTTGAATGGGGAGTGACATGATCAAAGTAGTATTAAGATAATGAACTTGGCAGTAACTTTTGGTAAGGGTGTTAGTTATGGAGACTGTAGCACTGCAGGTATGATATGATTAGTACCTTTCTTAATATTAGTGATCAGTTATCAAAGAGTGGAATTGAGAGATTACAAAGAACTAGCAATGAGTATAGACAATGGAGTAGTCGAAAATGAGAAAAAGGGTCATTAATGAAAAAAAGAAGTCAATACAGGAGTTAGTTTGGTTATATTTTACATTTGGTTTTTGGTATTTTACTGTGGGAGCACTGGTGAGGGCAGGTAGAACAGGGAAGATCTATTAAATGGTATATGTCACTATCTTACATGTTAAAATATTGACTTTGGTATAATTGAAGATCGTTTGTGCTTTAAGTACTAAACTACTAAAAAGTAAAATGACTTATATGAGAGCTGGTTCTGTAGTTCAGGATAGTTTAGGTACCTGCCTTGCCACTGAAGTACCTTCTTGTGACTTTGAACATTTCACTCCACTTTCATCCTACTAAATTGGTAGGCTAGTGCTTTGCTTATTTTTAATTTCTCCTTGCATGCTGCAATTACTATATTTGCAATATTTGTCTTTCAGTTGATGTAGAACATTCTCATGTTCAATTTCTGGGAAACCTGGTATTGAACCTGTGGGACTGTGGTGGGTAAGTATCATCTGTTTATTAGTTTAGGAAGCTAATGGCAGTGACCATGACATTTAGTATAATCAGTATGGCAAGCATGCCTAGAGTAACTGTCATTTGTAATAGATATATTGGATAGAATTATTTTGTAATTGGTACTTGATTAAATAAAATCTCTGACTTCTGTGTAATTATGAAAATTCCCTCTGTATGTGACATATTTAACCAGCTCTGATACAAGCTCCGTTTGGTATTTTTGGAATAAGATAGAACCTCCTTCTTTTGCAGAATCATATTAGGTTTTTGTCTCAGATAATCTGACACTAGTGCTAGCAGCATAAATTAGGTTTCTGTCTGAAGTGATTTGACACTATCATACCATACTGGTTCATTTTTATATATTTTAATAATTATGGCCAGGTAATCTTAGCACTATAGATCATACTGGGCATTTATTATCTAGCTAGTTACTCATTGTTGGAAGAGTAAGAGAAATGTGTTCCTCTCATGAGCAAGGTACTTACCAAATAGCCCATCACAACTATGCACTTACCATGTTTCTATGCCGACATTGCATTATGTCTTGTATCTCTGTACTGGAGCAGCAATGTAGAGTCCTTAGTGCTTAGGAATGTAGACACCAGAGTTAGATTGAGGTTTGTATTTTGTCTGTTAGCTGTGTTAACTTGGATTGATCACTTGAATTTTCTGAGTTGCAATTTCTTCAGTTTTATAATGGGGTAGTAATAGTACCAGCTCATAAGTGCGATTACCTATAATAATAAGATAATTTATATAAAAGTAAATATTAGTGTTATAAAAATTAGTTATTATCTTTAGCTTGTTGTTTTCTAGCTCCTAGCATACAGCTAAATATAGAATAGATACTCAGTGAATATTTAATGAAAGAATAATTTAACCGCCAAATACTTTCTAGGAAAATGACTCCATTATTAAGAGTATGGATGACTTAACATTCTAGCAGCACTTTCACATTTTTATTGCTTCCAATTCTCTAATCTGCATTAAAGGATTAATATAAGTCTCCGCTTTTAGGCACTGAAACCTGATTTAGTATTTATGAATAACGTAGCCAAGATAGATTATGATTCTCCTAAGGTCATGAAGCTAATTAGTAGTAGGATTAAGGACTAGTACCTACATTCATGATTTTCCTCAACTCAGTGCTACTATTCCTGCTGTCTAGTCATTATCTGAGAATTTCTTGGAAAGTGGAACACAGTCTAAGTAATAAAGAACAACATTCTGCCAGAAAACTATCATTATAGTCATTTTCATATAAAGAATATTTGATTACTGAGTTATTTATTAAGCAAATGTTCATGGGACGTCTATTGCTCTTTTAAAACCCAAGAAACAATGAGTAGCAGATGGAATACTACAAAAATGAATGTTATTAGCCAAAAGTTTATGCCAACAAATGTAATATATTATGATAAGTGTTGGAAGTGAATGGAATTTATTGATCAGAGTCTTTGATGAATGGATTGATCCACATCAGGTATTTCAGGAACTGTTTCTACAGAAGTATCAGTTGAATTGAAATGTAAAGGAAAAGCAGGAGTTAAGATGAAGGATAAAAGAGTGCCATATGAAAGTGAGAAGCATGTGTAATAGTTCCATGATGGAGAGAAATTGTGGATCATTTGAAGAATTAAGAAAAGATAAGTGTGTTTAAAACATGATGGGAGGGGCAGAGGGTGGTGGTACCTGTTGCAATTCAAGTTGTAAGTTCAGGTCAGATATGTTTGCTATTCTTTACTCTTCAAAGCATTAAGATTATCTTTTGCATTGATCAAGCTAACACATACATATCAAATTCAGGAGTGATTTAACTAAGGACTTGCTTGCTATCACTATCATTTTTTCTATCAGACAAGACAGCTTCATGGAAAATTATTTCACTAGCCAACGGGACAACATCTTCCAAAATGTGGAAGTTCTAATTTATGTTTTTGATGTGGAAAGCCGTGAGCTTGAAAAGGACATGCACTATTATCAGTCATGCCTAGAGGCTATTCTTCAGAACTCTCCAGATGCCAGAATTTTTTGCTTGGTACACAAAATGGATCTGGTACAGGAGGATCAACGGGACCTGGTAAGAAACAGAAAGGGCACTACATTAAACAGTTGATGTTTGCAACATTATTTTTTCAAGAAAAAAAAAGTCTCAATAAGCTTTCCAGTTGAAATCCCATCATATATTTTTTAAACACTTCTTAAGTACATGATTCATTTAGCAAGTAGAGGTTTCAGAATTAGTAAGGAATCTGATCATGTTAAATCACTAAAACATCTTTATTTTTTAATGTATTTGCTGCCCCTATTTTATTGTCAAAGCTTGAAGACTTGCCAGAGGTAAAATAAAGATTGCTTTTGTAACTGGATTTACCAGTTAAAATGCCAACCACACTGAGTCAGGCCCTATGCCAGGTCTCTCATAATTGGCACTAACATAGTGTATTTCTCTTCTTTTGTTGCATGAATGAATTAGTTTACACATATTTAAACCAGAGAAGACACAGTAGAGAGGTAATATTACTAAGATAATGGAGTAGGAGCTATCATCCCCCACCCTACACACTAAAACGAATATAACTACCCATAAACCAGAATAACTGTGAGAGAATTCAAATGCTTATTACAAAAAAGATACATTAAGTGGGTAAACTGCTCCCTGTTTGTGAGATTCTCTAACTAGCAGATCACAAACATAGTCTAGTTTCTGTTTGCTCATTTGTAAGAGGATTAGTTCTTAATGTCAAAGTAAAAGAGAAGGTCTTTCTGTACTTCTTAGGATAAAACTCAGAACAGCAGTTTTAGAATATACTAGTTGTGTATAACAGTTCCTCCTTGGATTGCTGTGTAAAGGTCAAAGGATTGTGGTTAGAGTTTTTGAATAGCTGTGATAAGGAGTGCTTTTTCCATGACTAAGTATAGTGTTGCCTCCATTGTTTAAGTATTTTGGTATGTATAGATTAGCTTGCTAGCTTCAAAAACTATTTGATAAGATGCCCTATTTGACTCAGAATACTAGAAATGAGGGTTCAATAGATTTTTTAGCTTTTTTCCATTTTCCCTCTCAGAAAATTAGGTTTATAGTATGGGTCTTAAATTTGTGAGAGTTTGATTGTTACTGTTATTGTTTTGTTCTTTTTTTCTTTTTAAATTATTTCATTTCTTAACCAAAATTATACTGGCAAAACTTAGAACATTCCAATTTATGAGCTACTTATGAATGTTATTATTATTTGTAATTTTGAATGATAATCTGTTTTCTAAATGTGCATGTAAATATTTCTAAAGACATGTTAATATTCTTTAGGAGATTTTAAGCTTAATTAAGCAATTCTGTAATATCATTACTGTAATATCATTACAGACTTGGAAGTTTTAAAATATGAATGATTAAGGTATTTCCAAAAATAATAATTTCAGCTAAGATAGATATTTCCCTGCATATATGTATATATATTAGGCTTTTCTAGAGAAACAGAACCAATAAGGTATATGTTTATATGTGTGTGTAGATAGAGAGATGTGTTCATTTTAGAGAACTGGTTCAACTGATTTTGGAGGCTGTCAAGCATGAAATTTTGAGAGCAGAAAACAGGTTAAGGATAAAGAGATTTGATTTTGCATTTCAGAGCAGAAGGAAATGGGAAGGGAGGATTCCCTCTTCTAGGAATGTCAGTCTTTTTTCTCTTACAACCTTCAACTGATTGCATAGGTTCGCCAATATTAGGGAAGTTAAGCTGTTTTATATAATACATACTGAATTTAATAATAATCTCATTTGAAAAATAACCTTAACAACAATATACAAATGTCTGGTCACAGTAAGACTCTCTCACATTATGGAAGTTAATCTGTTTTATATGAAATGTAGTGAATTTAATAATAATTTCTCTTGAAAAATAAACTTAACAACAATATCCAAATGTCTGGGCATTGTGGCCCAGCCAAGTTGAAACATAAAACTATTATGATACAATTCTTGTCAACTTGACAATCATATACATCCCTGAACCATACTTAATCTCTAAATAAAGATAATATTGAGGTCATACTCTCATTTAATATGATACAGCTATTTGGTGTACTATTATAAAAACTTTAATCCTCTCTGAACAAGAGGATATAAAGTCATTGGGTAATGTTTCCTCTTTTACTTGCTTTCCTTTTCTGTATATTAAATATTATAATGTAAATAATACTTAAGCACAATATTGATAAAGTATATATCTTCTATTCATGGTAAGGGGTAAGAAAAAAAATAAGGCATATTTTAATACTTGTACATGTATATCAACAAAATCAAGAAAGAAATACGACTATTATGATTCTTATTTTTATAACTGTTAATGTGGTCACAGCTGGTATTTATACCTACCATATTCAGTTCTGGATTCTCTTTACCCACAGAAATCACTTCTGGTTTTAGTTCCTTTAGAGTTACCTTAAGTCCATTAGGCCTAGTACTTTGGGTCATTAGTAGAACTGCCTCAGTTGAGTAGTTGCAGTTTTTCATTACCAGGTATAATATTATTAAGGGATGCTTTATGGGAATCTCTTGTGTTCAAACATGTCCTTCCTTACCTCTGCCATTAAGTAGAAGTCTAGTCCCATCTTTAGAGTCAAGATTAATCACTCCAGCTGTTGCAGTAACTCCTTTATATGCATATTGATTCAGAAGCCTAAGAAATTCAAAGTAACTGGTGGTAGTCTTAATCTACAGTTAAGTGAAATTATTGTTATGTCTCCTATTAGACACATTCCTCTCCTTTGGAACTGAGACCTTAAACCAGAAGACTATAAGGTCATAGGAACAAGAACCAAGAAATATTTGCCCCTTACCCATAGTAATCAACTAGCTGATTGCTAAGAATAAGAGTAAGTGGTGATATTTCCTTTACTTCCCTTTAAATCCAAAATCCATAAACTCTCACTATGGGAGAAAAAGTACCATATATTGAATACAGATTCAGGGGATATACAGCTTCCTAGAGAATCTTGCTCCAGCTCTGCAAGTTGCTATCACTTAGCTGGCACTGTAACTGAGCCTTCAAAGTTCCACTTCACTGATCTGTCAAACAAGCTGTTTCAGAGTGGTAAAGAACAGGACAAGAGTGAATTCCATGAGCCTAGGGCCATCCACTTACTTCATTTGTTGTGAAATGAGTTCCTTGAGTTCCTTGAGGAGAAGCAGTGTTGCATGCAATACCATAATAATGATGAACACATTTTATAAATCCTTATCTGGTAGTTTTGGCAGAAGCATTGTGTACAGGGAAGGGAAATTCATATCTAGAGTATGAGGTCTGTTCCAGTAACAATCGAATGCTGTCCCGTAACTGAAGGAGATCAATGTAAGCAGCCCACCTTAAAATAACTAGGAGAATGATGGACTTGTAATGATACATATCACGGACTTGTAATGATCTCTATTGCTAGTATATTGGGCACTCGTTGGTTGCCATAGCAAGAACAATCTTGATGGGTCAAATCCACATTGCTATACCTTTGAATAACTTTCAACTCCTCATTGTGGCCAATTAGTTCCTGAACCCATTTAATTGGAGAGATAGCTGAGGATACAAGCTACCTGGTATCCACATAACAGGCCATTGTATCTACTTGATTATTAAAACCCTCCTGAAGTCACTATTTGGTGACATTCATGTGAAATGCATGCATCCATATTTTTTCTATTCAAGAGATTTATAAATATACTCTTTGTCACTGACTTTATGATGATGTTCTTCCAAGTCGTTGTCCATACAGCAAATGGCTACATCTCATGAGTTGGTATATAATTGTTTATCTGAACATTTCACCTCCATAACAAAGGGAATAGCCAGATGCTGAAAGTTCTGTTCACTGAGAGGATTTTATCTTTATCACTTTCCTTTAAGGATGCTCCAAAAATGAGCTACAGGGTCGCAGCTTATCATATCTAGGTGATGTATTTATATCATGCAGAAACCATATGTTAAACCAGGTTCTGGTCTTATTTTCCTCAGTCACTTGGTTGTAGGGAACTCCTCATGAAGTCCTAAGAGCAGGCTTGGAGAAAAGGCAATGTAGCTGTGGAGGTCATGGGCATTTGGGCTACTTCTACTTGTAACTTATTTGTGTCCTTATGGTCTTTATGAACATGGTCTGATATATATATCTTGAATTTGGTAATGGAGTACATCTGTGTACACCCGACCTTATGGCATGAAGTTAAATAACACCCAGTTCATAATGGGTAGCTCAGGTCTTGTGGGGGCCATGGTTAAGTGTACATACTATGAGCCAGTAGTAGGCCAAGAGTTATCAAAAGAAGAGTAGTTACATATGGAAGATGGCAGAGCTTTGATTCAATATTCTAAAGATGTGGAATATTGTTCAACTATGGGGACCTGCCATGGCCTATAAACAGCACCCCTATCCACTACTAACACTTAGGTTATCATTAGATTTGCTAGGTGATACAGGCCAAGAAAAGAGGAGCTTGCACAATAATGTGGACTTATTGCAAAGCCTTTTCTTCTATGCCCCACTCAAAACTAGAAGCCTTTTGGATTACTCAGTAAATGTGCTAGAATAATACACCCAAAAGAATATGGTACCTCCAAAATCCAAAGAGGATAGACATTGTGCTAGACACTGTGCATCTTTCATGGTTGTAGCATGAGACATATGCAACAGCTCATCCTTCCCAGTAAAAGGATATCTCATCATGCCTCACTGAATTCCTGGAAATTGTACTGAAAATACCCCTATTTTTCTAGTAAATTTAGAGCAACTACCTCTTACTCACTGGGTCCTATTAGCATAATGTCATCAATGTAATGTCTTGTAAGTGGAACACAATCAAATCCCAACAAAACAGATTTGGCATAGGGTAGAGTCATTATCACCCTCAAATATGTCAATGATATTTTTGGCTTTGCCACTTGAAAGTAAGCTGGTGTGTTTTATAGACAAGTATGGAGATGTCTTGGTTATTCTTTTTTTGTTGTTGAGACAAAATACCTGATGCCCAAAGTGAAACAAGGAAAGGTTTATTTAGCTCACATTTTTTGGAGGATTCAGTCCATATTCAGCTGTCTCCAAAACAGGGTGATGTGGCTGAGCTTTCATGACTGCCACAAGCAGCAAGCGCAAACAAGGCAAAAAGGGGAAAATCATGCCTCCTCCTCTCTCTCATATTGTATACTGGCTCCCTGCACCTGGGCAGATACAGCGCTCACTCCACCAATCCTAACACTAGACAAGGAACCAGTCACAAACACTAGATTCAGCCACCTCCATGACTACGTGAGGCTTGGGGGGCAATCCAAGCCCAAACCATAATAGAAGGAAAATGCATTTCTTGAAAATAGTTACATACAGGTACCAGGGAATGTGTTAGTTTGCTCAAGCAATGAAAGCACAAAAGCCTGTAATTGTATAGTTACTATGTGGCCTAACATCTGATAATCCACTGTCTAAAATCTTCTGTTTACAAAGACAGAAGTGGCAAGCTTAACAAGGATATAGTGGATTCCTTAATCCTGCATCTTTCACTAATTCTCCAAAGTCCCTTCAGGAACTCAGTATTGCTTTTGCTTTATTGTTTATCTAGGTAGATAGATATCTAGGATGCAGTTCCAATGGCTTTCATTTGGCTTTTTCTATCCATGAGAGTCCTTACTCTTCAGGTGAGGGAATTAGTTTAAGAATTTTAGCAGTTGCTAAGTAAGTGTTTTCCAATTACGCATTCTAGAATTTTGGAAACATCTAGAATATAGATTCACTGTATGACAAACCTGTGCTAAAACTCCATTGAACACTTGATATTCTTAAGACATGGCTGGTGAACCTCAACAACATTGTGGGTCTCGTGGAATTAGTGTTACTTCAGAGCCCAATATTCTCTAAAAGGTCTGAGCCTTTCCTTTTCCCTAATGTGTGGTCACCCTGGTAAAAAGCTGTACCTCCATTTGGGGGAAACGGGAAAATTAATGGTATAAATTTTGGCAATGTATTTAAGTGGATTCAGCTCCCCTTTGTTCAAAGGGCTCTAGGTCTTTTAAACTGGCATGAAGATACAGAGACTGAGAGAAGAGGGAAAGGATGATTTATTTTAAGGAATTGGATTTACTAATGATGAAGGCTGACAATTCTGAAACCTGTAGGACAAGCAGACTAGAGATCCATTGAAAAATTTATGTTGCTGTTGGAGTCAAAAGGCAACCTAGAGGAAGAATTTGTTTTTCTTCAGTGTACTTGTCTTTTAGTCTTAAGGTTTTCAACTCAACTAATGAGGCCCCCCTTCATTATTACTTTGCTTTACTCAAAATTACTTATTTAAATATTACTGTATTCTCAAAATATCTTCACATTAACATCCAGAATGTTGTTTGACCAAATGTCTGGAGACTATGGTCTAGACAAGTTAACACATAAAATTAACCATCATAATGTATCCAATGTATACAACTAATCCACCCACTCAAGGAAAAATATCAATGCATGTATATTTGTACAGAGAAAATTTCATGTATATGTTAGCACATATACATAGAAACATCTAAGATAGGTAGAACTTTTGTATATGTGGAGGGCTATATATACACAGTGAAGTAAATACAATGCATTTGTTAATAATATATATGAATATATGTATACAAGTACATGACCAAAAGACACATAGCTTAAAAATAGTTTGATACAAAATCTTGATACAGATATCATCATCTTAAATTGAGCCATATTTGGTGAATTGGAGTGTTGAAAATGTGTTATGATTCTTCTTTATGACAAAATTTATTTTCCAAGTATAGGGCACACAAGCAGCATAAGCCTAAATAATTCTATTAACCATTGATGTTTTAGACCTGACCTGAAATAATTTCTGCCATCCTGGTTTGTGAATTAATGTATATACTCAAAATTCCTCTTAATAAGGAACTTTTGATTAAAATATGCTAAAATAGTTACAGATTAGATTATCCAGTCAAAGAGGGGAACTGTTATGTGCTGATCAGTGTGCTGGACTTTTTAATTCAGATTTTTAGAGAGCGAGAAGAAGATCTGAGACGTTTGTCTCGCCCATTGGAATGTTCTTGTTTCCGAACATCTATTTGGGATGAAACTCTTTATAAGGTATGTGTGTTTCTGAGTTCTCTCATTTTAAGATCATGAAAAAAAGCTAGAAGCATATTAACAAAATGAAAAGATTTTAAGCCATTTCATAGTCATCTAGATTTTTTATACTAAAAAAAGATGTATTGCTTCAAGAATATCAAGCTAGATTTAGTGTACTTGAAAAGGGGTAATCTACAACAAGTTGCTTGAAGAATATCAAATGTAACACTAACAGATCTCAGTTTTGATATTACATTGGGACAACATTGCTACAAAACCACATTGAATTAACCGGTTTGGCTGTGATTAATTTAATACTGATCTTTATGATACCAGAAGTTCACATACTGGCTATCATAATTCTGACTTATTGTAGTATCATTTCTTATTAGACTTGTGTGTAGTGCTCACTTATGGCTACATGATAATGGTATAAGCTAATCTTCTTTAAATTTGAATAGTAACAGTAGAAAAATATTTAGTGGAGTGGTTTGAAAAAGGAGTCTTAGATTGAGACATTATGCCTGGAGGACAGCAGCTTCAACTTTCATACCAAATTGGAGACCAGCATTCTTTCAACCAGAGGGATTGTTTCCATGGTTAGAATAGATGTCACAGTGTTTGCAGTAATTGAAGAGATTATAACTTCTGTATTGATGAAGTTGAAATTAACTTATTGGCACATAGGCTCCTGCTTCTTGCCTTTTTCCTACTGATAGAGTTATTTAATGACTGGCTCATTTTGTGTCTTTCTGTGGTCAGACCTTTCCTTCAGACTGCTTCTGGTACCCATTGATAAGTCTGACTAGGTGGCAAAGGATCCTTCTCTGTCACTTGTAGCTACAGCCTCAGTATCAACTGCATTTGACAAGTATCTACAATCAGAATTACAGAAGCCTGACTTGACAAGGAGAAAAAGCATTGAACTTTAAAAATACCATTGCATTAAAAAAAACGAATTTATTTTTTCCCAATATTATGTTGACCCAGCCTCATTCTAATAACATCATTTTGAGATACCTGTCTAGGAAGTACTGTTCTAGATTATTATGGGCCGGATTTCTCTCAAAGCCTTATTCCCATAGAACAGGTAACCGTGAATAAGGATGGACATGACGCACTGATAAGAGCCAACTGCGGTGTGAAGGATGGCAATACATAACACGAGACCAAAGACAATTGGCTAATCACAACACTGCTGTGAGTGAAAATGTCTCTGCTGTGGTTAGCTTTGGTGCCTTCTCCAAGGTAAATTCAGCAGTGACATTAACACCAACCTGGGAACCTGGAACCTGAAGTCCTATGCCTAAGTGATAAAACTAATTGGAGCAGAGACATGACACTTCTATCTCTTAAATCAATGTTGCATAGAACAGACTTAAATTTTTCTATTAAGTTTTATTCAGTAAGCACTCATTGCCTATGTGCTTGACGCTATTGCATACTCAAATGATTTAAGATCAGGTTCCTGCCCTTTAGTATGGGAAAGAACACAGTACACTTAACCAGAAAAAATGGAGTGAGAGTGAAGGAAGTATGGAAATACAAATAGAAGAGTCAAGAGAATTGAGGGAGGGTGTGGTTAATTTCAATTGTTTACATTAGTCATATTCTGGATGAAGTTAGTTTTAGGCACTTTTAAAGTTCCATTGTATTAGTGATATTCACAGATGACAACAAAACTTGGGGAATGATAATGCCACTAATTTCTCTTGTAATGACATATTGTACCATTGAGGGAAAGGGCCATTTGTCCATTTTGCTCTAATATTTTTCACAAAATTGATCTTGGATGTATACTGTTAAATATTTGTTGAACGTATAGATTAGAAACTTTGCAAGTGGTAGATCACATTTTGCAAACTTTTTTCCTACGGCAATATGATGGCATTAAATTGCTTGTTTATTTTCAATTTTCAATGGAAAGAAGTTTCTTTAGCATTTCATAAAAGTGTATGAACTTCAAAAATTCAACTCAAGGGAAAGTCAATGTTAGTTTTATTTTTCAACTCATATGTGTTATATTTAATGTCAGTATTTGTCTGGGTCTCAAATATCATCATATTTTTCTGTCTATATTTTAATGTGTGTATTCATTTCAAAGGTCAGGGTCTGGGTACCTGTTTGTAATATTATATTGTGCTTCTGTCCTGTTAGGCATGGTCCAGCATTGTTTATCACCTGATTCCCAATGTTCAGCAACTGGAAATGAACCTAAGAAATTTTGCTGAAATTATTGAAGCTGATGAAGTACTTCTGTTTGAGAGAGCTACTTTTCTGGTAGGAGCATTCTGCTCTCGAGACACACTTTACACCATACTTTTATTTAACAGCAGAGAACAGCATGTTGCCACTTTCAGAATAACCATTTCCCACTTTGTCATTACTTTAGCATGCTTAGCATTGTTTATAAAGTAGTATTATCAACAAATGATCTGAAAGAAGAACTTTGGTGTGTAGCCCTTTAGTAGTCAAACTTAGATTTGGGCAGGTATGCCTTAGACAGTTTAGATTATTTGTTCTAACAACTGTTCATTTGTGATAAAGGATTCATTTTTCTTATTCTCCTTTATTGTAAAATGTAGGATATTTCCTCTTACAGAAAACTCTCTTCCCATCTTTTTATCTAAAGGACTGAATTTAAAACTTTTAACTTGGTAGAGGTAAAGTGGCCAACTCAGTGTTGTAGCTAAGATGAGAGAATTGGAGGGAGAAACAGGCATGTTACTATTTTTACTTTTTATATAAATTGAATTTATCAAAGATCCTACTTTTTGTATAAACCTAAGCAGGAGACACAAAATCTAGTATCACATGTATTTTTAAAATAACTTTAATAAGAACTAATTTGAAATGTGACAACACATTTTGTAAATAATTGCTATCTAGCTTAATAAATATAACTCTACAGTAGATCCTAGAAATTTTTTACCTCTAATAGTGCTTGGTGATTTTAGACACTGTTTTTAATCTCTCTGAGCTTGCTTCCCTTTCTGTAAAGTGGGAAAAATAGTATCTATATTAAGATTAACTTGTGAATTAAGAGGTAACATTTAGCAATTGCCTTGGCATGTAGGTGAAAAGTTATTAAGCATTAATTCTTTTTGTAGCTATCACATTAGAGAGTGAAGAATCTAAAGGGCAGTTTCTTCATACCACTCCCTTCTTTTGTGGAAAAATTATTTGTAACTATAGTAGTATAAGGGAGCTATCCTTTCTGCTAGCTGCCACAGCTGAATCAAGGAGTCCTAACTAGCATGTCTTTTGCCTCAGCTCACTGATATTGATGCTTGCTTAGATTTACTACTCTAAGCCCATTTTTTTCTCCTGTTGTGATTAGCAACACACGATTAAGCTGTTAATGTGCATGGCATTACAGAATCCTGCTTCAGCAGCATTTTCCTGCCACATCTGCCACACATGATCATAGAGAATAACCTAATATAAACTCTCTATTCCACATTAATAGTAATAGGTAGCTTTTGTTTCTCTTGAAGGCCAAGTGTAAGTGCAAATGACTGTTTAACCGAGGTGCTTACAGTAAGCAAGGTAGATTTCTTCTGTCATTGGTATACGAATTGTATTTTGAAAATATCACATTTCTCAAAGAATTTCCCTATGAATTTTCTTCTGGTGAGTGTCTGTTTTGTCTTTTACTAGAAACTTTTCATCTGTGTATTAGTATTTAGAATGCTATTGTGGATTTATTAAAATCTGAAAATGTTAAGGAAGGTATTTTCAATTGTGAGAGTTCATTCTGAATTGACTTATGACTAATAATAAATAATAATGAAACCCTTATGTTGGAGTGATCTAGTAAAGCTTGTTCAGTATTATTCTAGAGTTATACTGATTTCATTAAATATAGTAAATGTACTTCAAGAACAGCAAGATATTTTTGCTTATTTTCATTTTTGATTTGTATTTTTAATATTGAAGAATATCGTATGAAAGGTTGAAATAAAATGAACATTTAACGATTAAAGTAATCAAGAAAGAACTTGTGAACCAAAGTACAAATGATCAAGTTATATACTGATAAAACCAGTGTAAGTTGAAAATGCATGTAAGATACCTGTCCTACCACATATCATAGCTTAACAATGCAAGTACATTAAAAAGTATGGATTATTTACTTCTGTGATCTCATGGGTAACAAAGAGATATGATTCACTGCTGCTGCTCAGCATCCAAAGAGAGTTGTGGACCATATGTACCATGCTGGATACATTTGAAGTATGGTTCCTACTGAATGCATATCATTCTCTCACCATTGTAAATCATCACACATCAAAGACCACCCTACATGGTTTAATACAGTTATAATCGAGTAAAACTGGATAAGTCATCCAAATGGATGTTGAAATCATGTACATTACTAACAAGTAAATGGGCAAAGGGAAAGAGACAGTAAACTATGTAACAAGTATATCAAGAAAACATAGATGACCCAGAAACCAAGAGAGATCTTCTTCCTATAGCAGCAGAAAGTAATATTAGTAGTTTGCATACATTCTTAAGATAATTTTCTTTCTCACAGGTGATTTCTCATTATCAGTGTAAAGAACAGCGTGATGCCCATAGATTTGAGAAAATCAGCAACATTATTAAACAATTCAAACTGAGTTGCAGGTAAGAGATCTTAAGGTATTATTTTAAAAAAAAAACATCATTTTTTAAGAGATTCAATTGACTATACTTGACTGCACTTATGTGTTCACAGTACTTTCTCTTATCAAAAAGAAAATCTCTAAGGCTGCCTACAGTTTGTTGTAGGGCATGCCATTGTCCTTCAACTCAAATTTAACTGGTACAGAAGTGTATGAACAATATTAAACAGTGCTCTTTCAAGATATTTGGTATGACTTTCAAAGAAACAGAATTCCCAAGATAATTTGATAAAGAAGGAAAACTTGTTGGACTAATTACAAAACTTTACTATAAAATTTTAGTAATAAAAATAGATACTGATTTCAAAATTGATATAGAAAAGTCTAGAAATTTCTAATCATGCATCATTTTTGAATAAATAGATTTGAATCTTATTTAACACAGGAAGAAAGGATGGCTAAACATCACAATGTAGTAAAGATGCAAAAATGAAAATTCTTCTTTTGGTAAAATTTACACCTGGAGAGTGGATATAAGTTTATCTACTTTACATTTTAAAATACTTTGAGACTTTCTAGAATGTTTTTGCTACATGAAATCATTTCTTGAATCTAAATGTCACATTACAAAGATATAGTCATTAATCTCAAAGATAAGAAAATTCACCTTAGGATACTTATTCTTAAATATTAGAGAAAATATTTATGACAGCATTTTTAACATGTATCTAGGCCTCTATTTTTAGTTCTTAGTCAATATCTATGTTTTAACTTACTTGACATTCTAGTAACTTGCAGGATATTTTAAAGTTGGGCGTGGTGTTATACTGTAATCCCAGCATTCTGGTAGGCTGAGGCAGGAGGATCACCAGTTCAAGCCTATTTTGAGTAATTTAACAATTTAGTAAGACTTTGTGTCAAAATATAAAATTTGAGAAAGGCCTGCAAATATAGCTTAGTGAGACAGCCCTGAATTTAGTCTTTAGTATGACAAAAAATCAGTTAAATTCATTTTTAGAATGTCTTTAGAAACTGTTATAATGAAGTGGCACATGGAGATATAATTCTATAAAATAGCCTAAAAGATAAAAAATTCTTATATTTTTGTTTTTTTAAATGTTCTTAATTGCTTTTTAGTACCGGGGATTGAACTCACAACCTTGCATTTGCCAGGTAGGTGCTTGTGCCACTGAGCTAAATGGGATTTTCTTATTTCTTGTACAGCAAACTGGCTGCCTCTTTCCAGAGTATGGAAGTCAGGAACTCTAACTTTGCTGCTTTCATTGATATCTTTACATCTAACACTTATGTGATGGTCGTGATGTCTGATCCATCCATTCGTAAGTTTAAACTTAGCTAGCATAGTTTCAAAGTCACATTCTGTTTATAAACAGTTGTCCTAGAGGTAATATTTTATTAAATACTTAAAAACTATTTTATAGTGGGGATGGTTGTGCAACAATGTGAATTTAATCTCATTTTCTTGTACACTTACAAATGGCAAACATAGTATATTTTATGTTACTTGTATCTTATTGCAGCTTAAAAATATTTTAATTACTAGTGGTAGATAACATTTATTTAATAGATTAATATTTTGAAACTGAGAACAACTTCTATAGTATTGCTTTCTCAGTGGAAATTTCAGATAGCAAGTTAGCAAATCCAACAATTTTAAAGAAAAGAGACCCCAAATCTGTAATTTATGCTCCATATGGTATATTTTTTAAAAAAAAAAACTAGTTCATGTTACCTTTACGCTATTAATAGAGTGATTTTATGTGTCATTGTATATATTCCTTTGTACCATATTCCTGTATTTTGGCATGAAGGGAAGCATTTAGTGCTTCCATATTTTAGTTGCCATGTCTACTATGACCTCTGAACTTCTTCAGTATTACTAAGATGTTCTTAGACCTTGAATCATCTCCTACCAGCTGTGTTTTCCTACTTTAGATTAATATTAAAACATAGCATAAGCTAATGGGCTTTGTTCTACTAACCCAAACCAAAACATTTTAGAAATTTTACATTTGGAATATGAACAAATCTGTTGCTTCAGAAAAATTAAACCATAGTAACTTGGGACTTCTTATTCTTGTATGTTCTCTGTGACATACACTGAAGGATTTGGCTCTTTTTGTTTATTTGTTTTTACTAGTCAGACATTCCTTTCTCTGCCCATATTTATTCTGTTGGGTATCTCCCCACCCCTACCCTCAGCTTCTGCAGCAACTCTGATCAACATCCGCAATGCCAGGAAGCACTTTGAAAAGCTGGAAAGAGTGGATGGACCAAAGCAGTGTCTTCTTATGTGCTAAATATTATTGAATATTGTTTCACACAAAAATTCAAACACTGTATCTTAATTAATCTTAATGTTGTATTGATACCTTTGGGATCTCTCTGAAATGTTGTGATACTCACCACTTGTATTTTTTCTCTATTCCCCAGTCATAAGGGTTAACCTAGAATGCTATTTACTCAAATAGCCAGTGAGGAGTTAAAAGATGTGCTGTCCATGAAATTGGTATAATATAAAAATAGGTGATATATATATATGTGTGTGTGTGTGTGTGTTCTGATAACATTGTTCTACTAGTGTGTAAGTGTTGTGATAACCTTGTTCTAATAGTTGTGTATCTTCTTGTATTCTTGTCAGATAGTAACTTATAAGTTTAGAGTATGACTATTTTCTCAGCATGCATTAAACATATTCCTTAACTTCAAATAAATAAACTTTTGCTGTTAGGGATTTCAGTGTCTGTTTTTCTTTTCTTTGTTTCTTCAACTGTGCCCTAAGAAAGTGCAAAGGAATTTTGCAGTTATCCTAATGAAGAGGACTTATTTCTTAAGAAAAAAATACAGAAGAGCATTAAATGAAGAATGGAACCAGATTATAAAGCTGTGCAGAAGGGTTTAGATGTATGGCATGTAATATGGTACCACATAAGAAAACCTTGTAGGCTTTTGAGCAGGAAAATTATGTGAAAGCAATTCTGAAAGAAAATTTAGTGAGACTATATGGATTGACAAAAGTTGGGGAATTTCTGTTAGCAGTCCAGGGTTGAGGTGTCTGGATTGAAAGGCTGTTCCAGGGTGCAACTGGAGAAAGAGCAAACAAAAGATAGGTAGAGAATAGAATTTATTAGGGAAAATTCTTCTTTTGAGGTCCAGTGGTAGTTAATTTTATGTATTCTATAATACCTAGTAGGGTGTACCTTTGTTATTCTAGTCAAGTAGTATGAAAACCTTTGATAAACTATTTATTTTTAATCTTCCATGGGAAAAAAATAAATGGAGTGTTGTGAAAGCTAAGAAATGGAGGTTGGGAACATTAAATGCAATTACTGTCTTGACCTCTTTAATTTCTATTGATAGAGTAAAAGAATACAAAAACTTTTAGGGAATCTATAGCATAGTAGAATTATCTTGTATAACCAGTCTCCATATTATAAAGAAAATCCTTCCATACTATCAGCCTCTTAACTTTTCTCTTACTTTAGTTTATTTTTTTCTGCCTGAGGTTTAAGTAGAGCTTCCACTGAGCAGCAAAGAACATGTTTTCTAGTTAACCTACATCACATAGACTAAAACATTTAAGTTATAAAAGAACTTTATGGGACTGTTTTATCAGTAGCTATATTAATCTTCTGTAATAGAGTTTTAGGTAGATATTCCATGTTGTTAACCCTGTTGGCATCTAGAAAAGTGAAAAGAACAGCTGAATGAGGAATGACTAATGTGAAACATGACAGCATAAGCATGCTTACCTTATATTTAGTATTTGAGGTAGCCATTAGAAGAAGCTCTTGAAAGTTTTAATAGTGTGCATGGATTGCTGCTCTGTCCTATCCTAAGAGTCTTTGACTCAGTAGGTATAAGATTGACCTTGTGAATCTGCATTTTTAACAGGTTTCCAAGTGCTGCTGATGCAGATTCTACTGGGCAAGGGACTATACCTTGGAAACCATTGCTGTAGGGAAAAGAAGAGAAAATGTAGATGTGGGTGCAGGTATAGGAAAATCTGTTTGCCAGATAAATTACAGGCATTATAACAGAAAAGTATTTATGTTTTAGACTGTTGGTTCTCAAAATGATCTAAAAGTTTGAGAAGTGATTTAGAGAAAAGCAATGACTGAGAAGCTTCTCTTTCATAAGTAGCATAAGTATAAATGGAAATATAATAGCATAAGGATTGTATAGATACTGATTTGAATAAAGACATAGCTTTTTCAATTTCAACCACCTTTATTGCTGACTTCATAGGTTATCAGCAAAAACTGGGTGGGTTTTCAAATGAAAACAGTACTCCTTTAGTTGAATTCTTACTAAGTTTCAGGTCTCAAGTCCATTATGAAGATTATCCCATTTATTCTTCACAAGAACCTCATGAGGTAAGTACTATCACTATCCCCATTTTGCAGATTGGGGAACTGGGCTGAGAAAGATTTAAAATGAATTTGCCTACTACTATGTAATATTGTCTCAGCTGGAATTTGAACTCAGGAAGTTTGACTCTAGAGTTTGTCACCTTAGCCTTGAATTTCCATGGCCTTCTTAAACCTCAGGGCCTACTAAGGGTAGAGAGTGTGAGATGTAGTCAAGAAATGGTATCTGGTTGTGAGACTTCCTTGTGTTAGTGCCTATGGAAATAGTAGAACACAGGATTGCAAACCTATCTCAGCCCTGTTTTCAATCGGGCTTTGTCACATGGAATAAGAAGCTTTTACACAGTAGACAAGAGTATAAAACGAACGAGCAACAACAACAACAACAAAAAAAAACCTCTCTAACTTGAACTACTTAGATCAAGCCTAAGGAGTTTTTCAGCATTTGGGGTTTCTACCTGAATTGGGCTACTGTGAACAATAATAACCTTTACTTTTTAAAAAGAAGAGAGACAAAGCATATAACTTTTTTATGTTTCCAACAACAATAGTTTTACAAAATCCAGCTTATGATTTTCCACTCAGATGTCTCATTTTGCCTTATAAAGTATGAAGGTAATCAAGGCCCCTAACAGAAGATGTTAATTAGCACTAAAAGTCAAGGAAAAAAAAAAGAAGAGGTGGGAAAGATGTTTGTATGTGTGTCCCTTTATGCGGTTGGTGTTTATTTCCTGCACAATAAGAAAGCCAGGAGAGATTTTAAGCAGGAAACTGATGTGAGCAATTTTACTTTTGAAGAAAGATCATTACAAGAGAATAGACTATTTGAACATAAGAGTAAATGCAGAGAAATCTGTGAGAAGTGTATTTTGCTAAGTGAGAGATGATGTTAGTTTGAGCCAGAATGATAGCAGTGGAAATAAGTGGCAGGATTCTGATGAAGTGTCTAAGAGAGGATAAAGAGCATAAAAGGAATCAGATAATACCAGTGTTCCTTGTTTGAGCAACTGCGTTAATAGGTGTCACTAAGACTAACAATTCTGAAGGAGAATTTGGCTTGAGGAGGAAGAGAGTAATTTTACTCATGGTAATCTTAGAGTCATGTCTGCATAGTCAGATACATGAATATTGAACTCAAGAAAGATTGAGCCTAAAGTTTCAAGTTTAGTCTTGACATTGAATGAAATTAACTAAAAAGTGAATATCAATAGAGAAAACAGGTAGTTATTTATTAAGAAAAGCTAGCCATTGAAGGTACCTTACCACAAATGACTAAAATTGTAGAATATCAGACTCTTCTAAGGAAGAATATTCTTATTACTCTGAAATTATGAAGATTTTAATTGTTCAACTTTTTAAGCCTACTTTTAGCTTTACACGTGTCCTTGATGCTGAATGCCTACAACAATAATAACAGCTAATTTTACTGATTTGTTATTATATGCCAGGCAAAACCTAAATGTTATTTATACATAATAATTCACTTAAATATAACAGCAGCTCTATGTTGTTAATATTGTCATAATCTCCATTTTGCTAGAAGAAACTGAGTAATTTACACTATAGTCAGTGCTCTTTACAAGTTTACAGCATTTTATATTGAAAAGTATAAAGTTTATCTTTGAATTCTTATTCTTTGCTTTTCTCATCAATCTTGTGAAATGGATAGGAAAGGTAGTAGCAGCTTTACAGGAAAGACAAAGAGGTTGTGATTTATCTAAATTCAAAAACTAGTGAAGAGTGCACGTGGGACTCCAACTCTAAACTGGTTCTTCTGATTACATAACAACTTTCACCTAACTTGCTGTGAGGAGACTCTTTCCAATATAAGTTCTTCTGATGGTGAAAATGTTCTATATCTGTGCTATTCAATATGGTAGCCAGTTAACACATGTGGCTATTGAATACTTGAAGTATGACTAGTGAAGCTTAACTGGTGTTTAAATTTA